CTGCGGTGTGTCCCAAGCTGTCTCAGCACAGGGAAGCCGGGGAGGTGGGAGCACTCGGCTACATTGGCGTTGATGCTCTTGTCCTCTTCTGTCCGGAGAGCCTCCATCTCCATGCCGGAGACACAAAGCTCTGCAGGACCATGGTCCCCACAGCTCCCTGGTGTGTCAGCTGAGCTGGGGCAATACTCCATTTGTCCATGTCTATATATCTAATATTTGTCTATTTGCCTTTGCTGTCACCAAGCTTGGCCAGGAAAGAAAGTGGTGTGAGGTAACACAAGCCGTCTCGTGCACGCAGGCCAAGAGGACACGCATGGAGGGCTACCAGCCCTCAGGTGGTGCACGGTACTGGGCAAAGCCACCATGCCAGGAGAGCTGGTCTGAGCCCTTGATGTTTGTGGAAGCTTTAGAGATAGGTGACTTAAAGCTTGGTGGCAGGAGGAAGAGTTTAGGCTTGGAAATTGTGCAGCTTTGAGGCTGGCTCTTCTCTTACCGACCTCGTCTGGACACCAGCCCAACGTGTGATGGAGACAAACGCTTGGGATGGGAACACTGGAACCTGGCTGTGTACGTGTCCACCTGGCCAAGCTTTCCAACCCCAGCCACCACCATCTCCTGGAGCCAGGGGACTTGCATGTCCCTCTGGGAGGCACTGGCTCTCACTCAGGCTCTGTTTACACAGTAGGAGAACGCCTTGGCTACGAACGGGAAAATAAAAGGAAAGCAATGAAGCCTGAAGCCTTGCAGCAGTAGACTCTCGCTGGGCTGCATCTGATGCTGTCAGCTGTTGGAACAGCTGCATGAACAGCTGGTCTAAACCTCTTCGAAAACTGCCCCAAGACCAGAGCCTCTAGCATAAATTCTGCCTTTTTTTTATGGTATTCACTCTTCTCTGCCCGTGGCAGGTCTTTGCAGGGTCAGAAGAGGAGGAAACAGTTTCTCTAGAGCCAAACCCTCTCCTCACAGCTCCATGCTCCATGGAAGTCACTTCCATTTCCAGCGCTGAGCTGGACAGCGCTGTTTGGTTGTGGCAACCTCCACCCCATTCACTCGTTACCAGATCTCCCTCCTCCTCTTTGCTTCTGCATGGTGACTTTGCCTCATGCAATGATGGAAGAAGATGCTGAGACTCCTTTTCCTGCAGACATCTTTGTGCAACCTCTTGCCTTCCCTTGGCTGACAGCCTATAGGTAACCCAGAGAAAATTGTTGCATGGAGGAGAAGACCTGGTTGTTGAGGTCTGGATGCTGGTGGCCTTCTGAACATCCTTTTCTGCCCTTCTGCAATAGAGCACAAACTAAGCCCTGCAGCAAGGGGGTGCAAATTCATGGACTGAGATGGAACTGGGCATGCTAAGTTCAAGACTGTCCTTGGCCTGTCTGTGGTTTGCAGCTGGAATCACTACAGTAAATGGCATTTTCCAGGCTAAAAAACAAGTGGAAGTAGGCTTATACACGAATGCCTATCCACAGATCTTGGCTTGGTGTCTTTGTGTGCTTGGTTCTGGCGATGTTGAACAACTCAAGGGTTGGACCTAGCTCTGAATTCAGTCTTTGGGGAGAATCAGTTCACTCCATGCACATGACAATGAGTAGGGTCTCTACTGGCAACTTGAAGACTAGCTGTGCCCGGTCATAGCAACTATCTGGATAAATACCCATGGAGACCAGAAGTAGCATCAGATTAAAGTGACTGGTGCAGTGAGGTGGTGCCACCCCAGTATGAGGCATATTTGGCCTCATAAATGCTGATAATGTTTTTTTCTTTGTTTGTTCCTGTCTCCTAGGAAGGACAGATTTACTGCGGCTTGGTGACCTGCCCTGAGCTGTTGTGCTCCTCTCCCCTAACTGTGCCGGATTCTTGCTGCCCGGTCTGCAAAGGTAACGAGGGGTCCAGGGGCTGCTCCTGAGTGAGGGCTGTGAGCCACAGGTTTTGCTGCTAGCTGGCATTTCAAGCCAATTACATGGAGTTTTGGAAACCTGTGCTGTAAATCAGGGTATTTGCTGCCTCTGGGTTGCATCAGGAAACCCCAGATTGGGCTCATGTTTTTCTTGGGCGCTTCCCCTCCCACATGTCCTTGTGTCCTGACTCCCTGTGGCTCTCGTGCTGGCTAGGGGCGAGCTCTTTATCCTGCCACTGTGCATCGTGCAAGAGACGTGATCTGCACAGAGAGTAGAATCCCCCAAATCTCTCACCCACAAGCTCAGAAGTGTTTGCATGGACCATGTGAATATGGTGCACATGTCTCTTGCTCCAGGGAAGTTTCTGGGACAGTCAGACCTTGGGGAAATGTTGAGTTTCACTCCCACGGGTCTCCATGGGGTGAAACTCTTGATTTTGCTGCTCTTTCCTCTGACTTGCATCTGGGAGGATGAGGAAAAAGTCAAGCCTTACATTTCTGGGTGAGACTCGGGCTAAGAACGAAGGGGCAAATTTGTTGCCTTGCACTAAAATGATGCTGGAGATGGGGCCCAATTTTGCTCTGTCACACCAGGCAAAGCCAAATGTGTGGGGCTTTCTTTTTGTTGCCACATCTGTCCCATCACCTCACCAATCTACCTTTGAGGTGGTTTCCTGTCGCCTAGCTCCAACAGTCTACAAGGCAATGTCTTTCTTGAAACTCTTATTGTAATCAGTGGGGATAAAAGGCTTTGGGGCATGTGACATGGATAAGCCAAGTTCCCACTTGCTTTGGGGGCACGTGAATCACATATTCAAAGCACTTCTGTCTCCAGCCCTGGCAGATGTACCTGCAGATCACTGCAATTAGTTATTTGGACCCCCGGGGGCAAATCCTCATTCACTTCATTTCATAGGCTACTGTTTTTCCCTTGCAGATGGCTCATATGAGAAGTCCACAGAAGAGGAGCCCTTGCAGTTAAACAGAGGTGTTGTACGTGATGTTTGCACTTTGCAATTCGCTTATTGCTTCTAGCACAGCCCCATTAAAGAGCTCAAAGAAAGCCACATGCCCTTGGGCATAGTCTTCTAACAAGAGATGACCCACAGCAGCTCTACAAGGGCAGTCATCTCCTCAGGCAGCAGAAGCACCTGCTTCATGATTGAATTGTGTCTAGGAGTTGGCTTTAACTGAGGAGTGTCAGCGTGGGCTGAGGCCTTTAAAAGACCTCAGAGACTCCAAGTGCTCTTGTTCTTTCCTCTGTGGTATCTCTGAGGCCTCTGGGAAAGCACCAAACTTGCAGGACCTGGACAACCACCTCCTTGTTGGTTAACCTGAGGTTGACCAGTGGGTTAGAACATCTGAGAAATGGGGCACCAGAGAGTAGACTTGGAGGTGGTCATTGGCCAGAAATGATCCTCGCTTGCAAAGTTGGGTGGTCCAGATCTCTCTCTAGGGGCTTCTGCTTCGGGTGCTGGTTTCTCCTCTCCCTCGGGATAAAGGGTGTCCTGTCTCCCAGTCATGGCTCCCACAGAGCCAGTGCTGGAGCTGGACACGAGCGTGTCTTCTCCAGGCTGTTTGTATCGGCAGCCCCAGCAAGGAAAAAATGACTCCCTGGCTGCTGAGGGTTGATTCATGGTGACATTTTAGAGTTGGGCGGCCCATGCCAGGTCTGTGGGATTAGGTCACTTACAGCTCCTTGCCCTTCCCTTTTCCATACTGCTGGGTGAACAGCCAGCGTCACACCTCCACCACCTATAAAATCTCCAAATAGACACAAGGGGACCCTTTGTGTTGCATGTCTTGTCCCAGCATTTTGCTCTTGGAAGCCCAAGGTGTTCCAGGGATCTCAGTCCTGCTGGCTAGCAGCCCTGCACCAACCCTCCTAGGGCCATCCAGGTGAGAAGGCAGGTTGAGACCCATCTTTACCCCTCCACCCCTGCTTGGGTTGCATGGAGGCAAGTCCTGTTTCCCAGTTGGCATCTAGAAACCCATTTACCTGCCTGTGTTTGCAATGCAGGACCCAGAAACCTCTCTGAGGGCTTTGGGTGGAGCATGTGAAGAGGCAGGTTGTGCCCCATGAGAGAGGATGACCCATACACAGCTTAGGGAGGACAGAAGTGTGGGGCATTGGCACAAATTGCTCAGCACCTCATAGGTGGTAGAAGCCACTGAGGTGGCTCCTGGGTTGTTGCTCATCCCTTGTGGTCTTTGTAGCTTCTTGTCATATGGTGTACAAGGCATTGGCTTTTTCCAATGTGCTTTAGAGTGAAACAAATGAACTACCCGGGTCTGAGTGCCTGTGTTGTCTCCAACTGCTCACAGAGGCACTCGCAAGACCAGTGCTCGGGGGAAGCAATGGGCAGGAAGCCTCTTGGAGCCACCGCGTCCACCATCCTCAGTTCTTCCCTGGAGTTCATTCCCAGGAACTTCAAGCCCAAGGGAGGAGGTGGCACCACTGTCAAGATTGTCTTGAAAGAGAAGCACAAGAAAGGTAAGAAGTGGATGGGCTAGGGTCTCTGTACATGGCCTAAGCTGCCTTCTCCAGGCCTTGAGGGTCACCAGGAAATCAATTTCTGCAGCAACTTCCTGCCACTGGTCCGTCTTGTTCCTCCACGGCCAACCTCACCCAGTTATGTTAACCTTGGTGGTTCAGGCCTTGGGTCCACAAGCCCTTCTGTGCATAAATCTGCCACTTTCTAAGAAAGGTTGGAGGAAAGCTGATCCTCGGGCTGCTTTGGAGGTATGGGACCTGGGAAGGGAGATGCTTGGCTGGAAGAGCCTACATGGTTCTTCCAGGGCTCCCTGGACATCCACCACAGAGCAACATGGTGGCTCCTGGCACCTACCTTCCATGTGGTGGGTCTGTCCTGGTGCTGTTGTCTTCCTCCTGGGGAGATACTAAGAAGACACAATGGGGAGGTGACACCATGGAGCCAAAGGGGAAGGACGGGGGAAGGCCTTCTCCTCTTGGGGCTCCTTTGCCACTGTGTCCCCAGAAGGGTGTTTTCCAGAGCTTGGAGATGGAGCCCTGGAGGAAATTTGGGGACCTCCAGAAATTTGCATGGAGAAGTCAGCAGGTGGCACTCTTCACTGCGCTTCATGCTGCCTGGCCTTGGAGGGACCCTGGGCTCGCAGAGGGCTGGAGGCAGGTGAGGTCCTGCCCACACCTACCCTCACCCCCTCCAGAAGGGGTGACACTATCAGCCTCCAGCTCCTGGAGCCCTGTCCTCCTGCTCGATGGCACCTCCAGGGCAAGGTGATTGCAATATCCCCATGCCCACTGCATCTGCTGCAACTCGAGGTGTCTCTCCACGTGCTGCCAGAGGACCACGCTCTTCAAGAGAGCAGGGCTACCCATTAACAAGGTGGAGAAATGTGTTGAGCTCCACCAAGGCTTGTGTGCGTGAAGAGGAAGAGCATTTGCTTCTACGGACAACTCTCTTCTTCCTCTTCCAGCTTGTGTTTACAACGGGAAGACCTACTCCCACGGGGAAGTGTGGCACCCTGTGTTCCGGCTCTACGGCCTCCTGCCCTGCATCCTGTGCACTTGCAGGGATGGTGTCCAGGATTGCCAGAAGATCACATGCCCCAAGGAGTATCCGTGTGACTCTCCAGAGAAAGTAGATGGGAAATGCTGTAAAATATGTCCAGGTATGTGGGATCTTACTGACCTGCTCTATCCGGTGCTGTGTCAGCTGCTTTCCGCTTCCTTCCTGCAGCCTTGGTTTAAGGACCTGGGTGTACAGATGCTTATGGGTTCATATTGCTGGTAACTTGAACGCATGCCGTATGAATTCAGCCAAATGAGCATTGATGTAAGGGTTGGTCTTACAAGGGTTGGCCTTGGAGAGCAGTGGGACTGATCCAAAGTGAGGAATCTGTACTGAAGCTGGAAGGTTGCATGTGTTGGTTGGGTGTAGTCTGGAGACAGATACCCAGGGAGGGACATGATAACAGTCTTCAGGCAAGTAGAAGGTGCATTCTGATACCCAACTGCTCTTCAGGACCCAACTGACTGTGACAAGAAGTCATGGGGTTAAATTGTGGCAGCTGAAACATAGGTTTGAAATGGTGAGGATGCTCTCAGTGTGGGGTAACTCTGGCACTGGTGGTTGGGTAGTGTTGAGGTCTCCATCCCTTACGACTTCATGGAGGATCAGACACACAGCTAGCAGAGTGGGCCAGGTAGATCTGGGTTGGTGCTGGTGCTGGGACACAGCAGCGAGACCATCTTTTCTGCATCCTATGAGTTAACAGGTTTGGGGTCTCTGAACTGGTGTCTGCTCTTTGGAAGGCTGTCTTGAGCTGTCTTGAACCACAGAACGTGGTGGGACATCAGATCAGCTCCTCTTCCTGCTGGAGGAGGTTTTCTAGGTTACACCTCTGTGTATCATCACTCAGAATCAGGTGTTTGGACGAGGGACTACCTACTTCTTTAATGAGACCAGAGATACCTTGAGTCTTCTTGGAGCCTGACCCCAGACACAGCAATTGCAGAGTGACCCTCTCTGACATGTTGTCATGGTTTAATGGAGGGATCTCACCAGAGAGAATGAGCAAAGGATGGGGCCACATTAAGGAATGGGGGCAAACAGGCTTCACACTCGTTTCAGCTGGGATTTTCAAGGTTTCCGGCTGCCGAGCAGGGAGGTTCTGGGATGGCCTCCCCCAGGGAGCGAAGGGCAGAAGCCCAGCTTGTTTTAATAAGGTTTCTGATATGTTTATGAGCAGGATTTATGATGTGGTGCCTGGTGGGAATGGGATGTGATGACTGATCAGAGTCCTTCCAGTCGTGTGTTCCCATTATAGCAGGTCTTTCTGGTTTAAAGTCTACAACTCTCTCTGCTGGGAACTCTTGTCTGCTGATCAGTCTTCATTTATTTCCAGTTAAACACCCTGACCCAGCCAAGATGATTTTCTTCTTGCTTTCCAATGCTCATAGATAGTGATCACACACACACGTCGCTCAGCCAAGTTTCATGCTTGTCCTTCACTACATGAAGATTTAGCCTGTCTTCTCTTCCAGGCACTTTCCATGACTTGCTCCTTTGCACATGGTAGCTTGGAGAGAAGCTCTGACTGACTTGTTTGCAGAAGGGATCCTAATCAAAGTGTCTGATGCCCTGGTCAGACAGGGAAACCATCACAGCTGCTCAGGGACTCCTGAGTCCTTCTTCCTCTACCCTGACCTGCAGCACCCTGGGCTGTCCAATGGCCCTAGTGTGAAGCTCTGAGCTTGGTAAATACCGGTTGTAACAGTGAGGGCACTTGGTTCCTTCCCTCTCATGAGGCTGGAGCTGCTGTCATGGATGCAGAAAGCAGCCTATGAGTAGAAGAAATGTGATGACCTGAGGTGGAGGTTTCCCCACATCCAGAACCCATGGGAGAGGGTTGGCAGCAGGGAGGGTGACGGACTCCGGGTGTCCCCCTTCGTGTCCCATTGAGGCTGCAGAGCTGAGTATTTGTCATCTTCTTGCTCAAAGAACCCTGCTTTATATGTCCTTAGACTGGGATTTCCATGTCTTCTAGGCATGCACGAAGAGTAGTTCAGGACCCTCCCCCAGAAAGCATGGGGGAGAGCAGAATCAATCCTAAAATAACTGTCCTACTAAAATAAACCCCACACATCTATTTATAGCCAAACCTTCTTTCGAGTAGTGTAGAAAAGCTTTAACATCCAAAACGACTGAGAGAACAAGGCTAAATTCAGCAGAGCTGAGCTCCTCCGCGTTCCAAGGACCACAACCAAAGGCAATAAATCTGCTTCCAAAACCGTGGGGGATTCTTAATTACTCCAGAAACAAACACACGCACACGAAAAAATAGCAGCTCTCCTTCACTAGGGATGTTAAAGAAGTCACGTAGGGTCCTGCCGATGCCTCCTGTGTGGGTGTCCCCGCTGTCCTGCCGGGAGGCTGGGATGGAGGTGGGAGCAGGGGGAGGGGGAGCGGAGGCCACACGCGGGGCTGAGGCCGGGCGCTCTGCCCGGGCGGGCCAGCCGCGGCGCTGGCTCCCGTTCCCCGGGCTCATCTCTTTGCTGAGCTGACGTTGCTCCTGCGGGATGGCAGCGGGAGAGAGACGGGAACTGGGGAATCCAGCCCGGGGTTCTTGACGTGCCAGGTAATGATAGCGTTGAAGGTCTCCTGCAGGGAGTATGGGGGGTCTGGGCGGAAAAAAATCCCCCTTCTCCACCCCTGCTGGTTTAGAGGCTGGCAAAACCAAGGAGTATTGAAAATTTGAGGGTGAGCAGGTCCACAGATATTTTATCAACATCTCTCTTCCTTTCCCTGTTGTTCCCACCTCAGGATCAGACGTCTTGCCTGAAAAGGTGGGATAATAATGCTGCATTTGGTGCTTGTCTTCCAAGGAAGTAGTCACAGCTTTGCCCTGATCCTCTCCCCTCCCAGCGGTGCCTCCAGGTAGCCCTCCACCTCTCCAGTCTCCCCCTCCACCGAGATGGGAGGACAACCTCTTGTCTTGATGTTGCAGGCTCCCTCCTTGGGGTATCAGGATGCAACCCCATATCTATCCTTGTCCCAGCTCAGATCCCAGGTCAGCGATGCATCTGTGTGCCACGGCATCAAATCCAACTGCCTTTCCTTTGATCTGGGTGCCGAGCTGACCTCTCCCAAGCTTGTTCCTTAGGGCCCTCCTTCTCCTTGTGCTGCTTTTGAGGGTTCTGGTTAAGAACTATGTCTTTCTTTTTGGCCAGAAGCCAGAGTGAAACCCACCGATGAAATAATCACCAGCCAGTGTGGCAAGAACCCCAACCGTGTCCTGGTGTACATGTTTGTGCCGTCGAGCTCGGAGACCTCCAAGGAGATCCTCAGGACGATCGCAATCGAGAAGGAATCGTCTGAAGAAGTGGAAATCTACAACTGGAAGCTGATTAAAGGTGAGTCGCCTAATGAAGCTAGCCAGCAATGGAGAAGGTGTGTGTGCATCGCTGACCTCTCCTCTCACCCAGTCTGTGTGGAAGGATTTACAACCTCTTCTTTGGGTTTGAGCCTGCCTTGAGCTTTGTGGTGAGGGAGGACTGTTGCCCAGTGATTTCCAGTGTTTGGTCAATCAGGCTGTAGAGCTTTTCTAACACTGCTTTCTATCTTGTACAATGAGTAGAAACCTTCTAAGACCAGGCTGGGTTTTCCATGTCCTCTTTGCACATCTGTTTGCTGTAGTTGCTGAGTCCACCAAACATGTATGATAGCATCTGGAAAGCACTTTTGTCTCCAGCATCTCCAGTCAACTGCTGTGACACCATTCTGAGGCACAGAATGTGGGCAAACAGGGTAGGGGCCATGGGGCCAAACCATCCCATCTGTCATGCCAGATGCAGACGGAAACAACCCTGGTCAAAAAATGTCACCCCATATTTTTCTTCTCTTTCTTCTTCCTGGTCCATCGACCACAGGGAATGGAGCTGCCATAAAGGTGCAATCTGGGGAGATGAATCGCCCACTTTTTGGCACAGTTGATTTGAATCTTCCAGCTGGGGTGTTCTCCTGAGGTCAATGCACAGCTAAAACACCCCTGTCAAATGACACCAACTTTTTGCTCTCTTGCAGTGCTTTTAGTTGGGCACTGCTCTTATAGATCAGAGGAGTCTCTATCCACTGGAGACGCTTGACCTGGTTGAGATCAGAGTTTTGTTTCTCTGGGACTCTGGAGGGGATTGTGGTGCTGGGTTGTGCCCCATCCTGAGGTCTCCATGGGACATATCCTACCCCTTGCAAACAGTTGGGTGCTTCAGGTGGCTCACAGCCAACCTTCAGTCAATGACCCTCAGTCCATATAGCTGGATGTCTTCTGGACATCTATAAATAACTATTCTGATCCGTCGTCTTACCTTATTCCCCTGATGGAGTTCTCAACCTTTCTGGGGCTGGCTTTCCCCAGCTGCAGCGGGTGGAATTATCCAGACGGGTAATTACTGCAGTAACCGGAGAAATTCACTCAAGAGACGGAGGCCTGACCGTCGCCATGTCTCCATCCTCCCCTTGCCATCCTCCATCCTCCACGGTGCCCCTCTCCCCGTCCTCCCCCCACTCCAGCAAGCCTCCCTCACAATGGCACCTTGTAGCTGGAGGACAGCTCTGAGACTTCACTGTCTGGGCCCCACCGTTTCCGCCTCTCTCCGTTTGGCAGAGGTCACTACCCAAGCTGTCTTGCCACCTCCAAGGCCAAAAGCTTAGAGACTGCACGGAGCTCCTGAGCCCTGCCAGCCAAGGACAGGGGAGGCCCTTGTCCCCGAGGCCAACACAGCTCTTTTGCTTGGCAGAGTGAAGTGTTACTGTTGGGAAAGAGCATGAGCTCAGTCACATATGGATTCCACCTCTCCATGGTCCATCACTCCACCAACAGAGAAGCATGTGTGGAGAAAAGAGTTTGGAAGTCAAACCTGGAGTCCATCCATCTGCCTTTGTATGGGCTTATGATACCTACGTGGCCTCATCTATTTCTGTGTCGGGACAATTTCCTCCATGAGGCAGCAGTCGGGAGGGGAAACCAGCAGCAATACCCAGTCCAAAGCTTCACCCAGCTTGTTGCTGGTGTATGTTCGATCCGCAGAGGAGTTGCACTGGAGACTTCCCCAGATGTTAAGGGGACTGAATAGCTCAGGAGATTTGAAATGTGACTTTCCAGTGTTTTGAAGCAGGGATTATCAAGGGGAGTGAGGACAGAAAAGGAACAGGTAGGATCAGAGAGTGACTGGCATGGTTCATAGGCTCTGTCATTGACTCATGCCCCTCATACAGCTTTGCTGGACGCCCGGGCTACACCTGGAGGCACCAGTTTCCCCATAGAGCTCTTGGTTGTCTTTGCCCTTCCAGACTGTTGATTAGACAATGACCAAAATTTTCCTTTCTTCCTTCTATTCCTTCTATTCCTCTCTATCCTGCAGCTCTGGGACCTTCAGCAATCCCCACTCTTTCACCACATTGGTGTACCCTCACACATGCATCTGGGCTGGAGGGGACCTGAAGAGGTCAAAATTGGCTGTCTCCACACTTTTCTGACATATATTTGAACATCTTCTGCCATGATGATTACATACTGCCTGTGTAATCTCCCAGAAACACAAGGCCCTTCCTCAGAGAAAATTTTCCTGATGTTCATGCTGATGTCTTGATATTCAGCTCAAGCTCATGTCTTCTTGTGCACCACAGTGGAATGGGAGACTCCTTTCCCTCATGCATTTGAAGGTGTCCTCCATTTAGGACCCTCTACATGTCTTTCTTGAAGTCCAGAGCCCAAAGTTGGATGAGATGTCCTGGTCTAAGGTCTTCCCATTGCGTCCTGATGGGACAGGTCTCATGCACATGTATGCAGCCATGTTCCCTCTCACACATGATGCAGGCTGGCTTGCTGGGCATCCCCATCCAGCCACGGATGGTCTTGGGCACTGTTTATTATCCCATGCTCATTCTGGGCCAGATGGATGTTTTATCAGGAGTGGTTTCCTGGCTGCTTCCAGGGCATCTGTGAGGATGTTGTCTCACACTGCTCTGAGGCCTTGCACTGGTCTAAAACTCATCCCATCCCTAAGTGCTGTAGACATATCTGCTTTGTTGATGCTCAGTAAGTACAGGCACCAGTTTCTTGAATGAGACCACATCTAAACAGTCCTTTTGCTTCCCTTCACAGTTGGGAGAGAGAAACATTTATCCCATCCACCTCTTTTCAAGTAAGCAGAACAGCTCTCCAGAAAAGCTGATCCTTAACTCATTTCTCCTTTTCTCTGTGATATTGGCCCATGTTCAATTCTTGGCTCCAAGATGGTGCATAAAGCACCAAGAAAGGTGACAAATGCAAGGCAGCCTCACCGCTCCCCTCCACCCTTCGCCCTCATAAACCTGTCGATGAGTGAACCAAGATCTGTCGGGATCTGCCCGTGTGAAATGACTTTGCCCGGCCTTAGCTATCCCAAACGCTAAGTCTTTATCGGCTTCATCCCATATTGGCTTTTCCATGGATGGTGAGCCGAGTGGGCTGTTCTTATCTGTGCTGCTTCGCTCTCTCGTCGTGCATCCTGGCACAACAGCTGCATTCCTCCCCTGCTTTGCAGCTTCCTGGCTCCTGACATTCATCAAAAACGACCATCCGGGGGCCAAAGGTCTCAGCCAGCTCTCCGGGGGCTCTTGGGTGAAAATTATCTAAGGCGCTTGATTAAAAGATGTTTATCTCTTGTAGCTCTTGTTTAAACTATCCTCTTGGTTACTAATGTACTGGAAAGTGCTCCATGAGCCACAGGGACTATAAGCACACCCTCCTGCTCCTTTCTAACTATAGACCAGGAGGATTTATTGAACACTTCAGACTTTCTTGCGTCATTAACAGTTTTATTACCTCCATCCAGTATCTTCTTTTGTTACTGGTAGTACTTCTTTTCCTGACCCCCTTGAATGACTTATATTAATAGTCCGACTAGGCACATATTTTTCTTGGTGTCTTTGACTTCCCGTACTAGCTTTCCACCCTCTGTAACATCTCGTTTAAACGCATTGCGAGCCGGTTCCCATTTGTTACATATTCTTTTTATGTGTAATTGCTGCTGGGAATCAGGAGAGCCTCTTCACCGAATATGGGGGACCACGTCGCCTCTGACATCTGCAGACCTGCCGTGGGTGGGAGGTCAAGTGAGACATGGGAAGGATATGCCCGGCATACCTGCTCGCTTTGTCACCCCGTGCAGGCAGATATAGATGTTATGAGCCCTCATCCTGCAGAAAGGTCACTCCTCTTGCTAAATGCAAGTTCTGCTTCTCTTGTGGCAAAACCTCTGACTCAGGCGTCTCCGCTGACAGGATGATGCTGGCACAAAAAGAAATATCAATCTGTGCTGAAAGCACGTTGGTGTTTTCTGTCTCGGAGGAGTTACAGAGCTGGGAGATGGAAAATCTCAGTCTTGGCTGCTTTGGGGACAGTGGAGTCTGAGAATAGAGGGGGTCACAATGACCAAGGAAAATGGGGAAAGACGTCACCCCGAGGGGAGCAAAGCATGGCATCCCAGGATACCCCTCCTTTCATGGTTTCAGGGGAGGTGAGACCTTTTTCTGGGGAGAAACACTTTTCAGAGCAAAAAGGTCTTGCTCCTTCTGTGTGCTCCATGTTGTTACTTCTGATTTAATGAGCAGTTATCACTTTCAAACATGATTAACTGCTGTTATGATGTGGGCTGGTTTCGACGCGATGTGATGGGTATTCCAGGGGCCAATCCCAGCTTGGTGCAGGGATCTTTTCCAGGAGTGTGGAGCCCAGACGGTGCTTAGAGCACAGTCATGGCCCTGGATCCACTCCAAAACTGCCACCACGCATTTGCAGCTGGTCCCAGACCAAGCCAGAACTGTGGGCACATCCAGTACAGCCTTTTCTGTGCAGCATCCCATGGTTTTTCCTCCCTGGAAGAGACGAGGTGATCTTTAAACTGAGTTCAGCGTAGACTGATGGGGCTGTGTCTGTCCGCAGGGATATTTCATCTGATACAGACCAAGAAAATCAGCAAACAGGAATTCAAGCAAGAAGCACAGAACTTCAGGCTGATCACCAGGACAAATGAAGGTAGAGAAAAAAATAGAGAAAAAAATAACCCCTTTTTCCCAATCCTCCAGCAGGCTCTGCCAACCAGGGTCTCCTGGTGCCCCATATTCTGCTGCCGTGCCCCAGCTACTTGCTGAAGGCCGTGTAAATCATCGAGCTGTGTGCGTAGGGGATTGCAAGGAGGAGACTTGTACAAAACATAACTGGTCAGGGCTGACCTGTCTTTACGGGCATGTACAATACTCCTGGTTAGCAGTCACATTTTCACTTTATGATATTGGAAAGGGCAGCCAACTTTCTAAAAGTGGGCACACACTTGTGAAATCCAAATGTTACATGTCTCCAAAGCCCATAAAGCTGTTTGATTTTTATATCTAATCCATCTGGCATTACGGAGGAAAAAAAATTATGCAAGGGATTTGAAAAAAATAAACTCTGAAATATTAAAAAAAAATCTTTCTTAATGTTCTTGGATGAGTGCAAATGTTACAAAAAGCAGGAATTCCAGCGCACATGCCGAGAGTGCCTGTGCAGAGCGAAACTGCGGCGCTATTTCCCGCTGGCTGCCTCTTCGCTTCGACTGGATTAGAGTCTAATGGATTAGGTTTGAATCGAATCCATTCCCGTATTGCTCATTTGACAGCACTCCAGCACCCATGGGCCAGGGTCTCGGTTCAGCTGGCAAAGGGCCCCTGCTGCCCCACATCTACCAGCGCCACCAACACCAGTCGAGGGTGGCCAACGTGGACAGGAATTTGTTTTTACCTCTGGGCCACCTGAGACAACATCTCTGCTTCAAACCCAAAGGCATCAGGGGCTGCTTTCTTACCCTTTTTACATGGTGCTTTCAAAACCTCTCGCCCACGCTCCCTTCTTGTCTTGGTTTCCCCTTAGCCCAGTTCACCTCTGTGGCCGTGTCCTTCTCCCGTGTAATTTTGGGGACATCCTTCTTGGTCCCCGCTCTTTGAAGAGCGATGTTAACTTTGGTCACGCGCAACAGAGATTTTTTTGCAAGCAAAACTAAATCAGGCTCTGAATGTCAGAGGCAGCAACGCCTAAAATAGCTGTTTAAAATCCCTTTCACTCGTCCTCCTTTCACATGCAGCGGGATTAGCACCGTGACACAGGGAGCCTGTTTTTAGAAGCTCCCCGTGAGCTAAGCACCGGCTCTGTGTGACTTCACGGGGGCACCGTTTCGAGAGGGACGGTGATGTGAAAGAAAAGAAGAGGAAAAAGACAAATAACCCTGTTGTGAAATCATCTCTCTGCTTTTACCACAAGTTCTAGGAAAATATTGGCCGGTGATTTCTCCACAACAGGAGATTAATTCAGCTAGAAAATATGCCTCCCTGGGATGACGACATCGGGGCTGCATAATCCTTCCTGGGATCACAAGGGCTGTGACCACCTAGGGGGAAAGCAAGGAAGGTGTCAGGCTGCCTTCTGGGATCTGGAGTTGGATCTCAGCAGCATCGCCAGGAGGTCGAGGTGGAGGGCCCAGGGACGCTGCTGGTTTGGGGAAATTGGGGAGGGTTTGGTGAGTTTTGGGCCCGTTGTCATTGCCCTGCTCCCTAAGGTGCATCTGCTTTGCAGGGTGTTTGCAGCTCCCTGCTGAGGCTGAGGGCAGGACATGGAGGGTTTCTTTGGAAGAAGGATCTTCTCCCAGCTTAGGCTGTTGCAAAACCCTGCATGAAACACTGGCACTGGAGTAGCCAGCAGAAAAACGATTGTAAATGCAGGAGTTTTCAGTGCCTGCACCAAGAAACGGCGTTAGTGATAGCTACCCACACATGGACTGCAAAATTTGAGTTTTGCCTTTCTGATGATGAGCCCTCGGATGAACACAGTTCTTGTCCCCAAAAGGCCAAGTCTAACACAGGTCCTTCTGGGGAGGTGGTGGAGGCTGCACGAGCCTCCATGCTTGCGGCATTGGTGGAGGATGTGTCTCTGACCCCTCAAGTTAAACACAGTTTTGGGAGACAGAGATGCGAGACTGGTCCCTGTTTTGGACTGAGCAACTCTGCTTTGAGAGCGCATGAGTGGTTTACCAAGGAAAACATAGGACATACCACTGATGCTTCAACTTGCATGTTAGTTGTGTTCCCTGAGGTCTATAGGGGCCCTGTTTGGGAGAAGGGTCCATAACTGGAGCAGGATGGAGGGCATAGGGGAGAGGAACCTCCCTGAGGAGAGAAGGTCAAGTCATGCCCAGATGGCCAAATCCATGATTTAGGATTATGGGACCACCAGTGAGCCAGTCCAACAGTGGTCCGTGCTACGGACAGACCTCTCTCCCCATCTCTTTCCCAGCATGATTCCTACATGTCTTCCAGTGTGGAGATGCTATGCAAGGAGGGAAAAAAAAAAGTGCCATCTTCCTGATAAGGCAAGTTTCGGAGAGTCATTGCTCATCAATGTCCATCTCTCTTCTTCCAGGTCACTGGAACGTCTTCCGAGCCCAAACATCAGACCTGAGGGTGACAGAAAGTCCAGAGAAAGAAACAAAGAACTTGTAAAGAAAAAAAAAAAAACTTTCATCTAGCTTTTGATTTATCTATACACAAACACACACACACACATATAGTCATGAAAAATGCATTATTAAATAGATTGGCACTGCTATAAAAGGAAAAATACAGCAATGTAAATTACAGAAACTCAAGCAAACAAACCAGATTGGAACCACCGTTGTATCCAGGTCTAAATATGACCATAGCCATGGACGTGACACCCCTCGGAGCGCTTCAGCAGATGAATGGAAGAGGCTCTTTGTTGTCTTCTGCTCTCAAAGGTTTCAGGTGTGCAAGGAAAGGAAAAAGAAACATGAGAGAGATGTGAGCCCTGCTCCGGTCCCCTACGTTTCTTAAAAGCATCAGGAGCTAAAGAATACAGGACCATCCCTTCTTCTACTGTCAGCTTAAAGACAACCTGCAAGGAGAAAAAGTCATCTCAGTTCCCTCTCCTGGAGCCCATGTGATCTGCAGAGGTTTCTTTTAGTGAAGGGTGCCTCTCAGAGCTCCTCTCTGTTTTAGCTGGAAGAATGCTTGAAGGACCAGAGGTACTTTAATACTATAAGTGGGTCCCAATTTAGCCAGGATTTAGGCTTGGTTAGACTTTATGAATGGTTATGCCTCTGTAGAAATCTGTATGTTCTCCAGGTTCACGATATGCTTCAGCACCTAGTTGGACAGGAGCCCTAACCAGGAGGAGGAAGAGGAGTTTTGTTTCAGGAGATTCCCATGTCTGACTTTGTGTTTTCTACTTACTACTTCTTTAAATCAAGTTCCCAGCCACTAGGAAAAGAAACGACTCTCTTGAGACTGGAAATCTCTTTTTCCCTGGTCGGCAGGTGACCTCTCAGCCTTGTTCTCCAGCTTTCTCATCAGGAAGAGCAAGACCTGTTCTTCCTGCTGGAGAAAAAAGGGAATGAAGCACAAAAATCCTGGAAACGAAACTGATAGGGGAGATCTCTGTCTTCCTTTACATCCTGAGGAGGCAAAGCACAGAACCAATGAGGATCTAAAACCAGGGAGGTTTTAGGGCTCTCAAATTGATAGGGAAGATCTCTGTGTCTTCCTTCTACATCCCAAGGAGGCAAAGCACAGAACCAATGAGGTTCTAAAACCAGGGAGGTTTTAGGGCTCTTTTCCTTCTTTGCAGGTGATTTGAAGGTGCACTTTTTGAGGGGACACGTTTAGCCTCTGAATCCCATCGTGTCCATGCAGAGCGCAGAGGGAGAAGTGATGCAGGAGGTCCCATGGTCCCTGATTTTCCTTCTGATATTGCCCCCTCGGCTGGACCCAGCTGAAGCTGCCCATGGTCAACCCCCTAGTCTTCTCTCCCTTCCCAGCAAGAATTGAACCTCCTTTTGGCTGTGAAGCTTCAGGATCCCCATCCATGGTGGTGGCCTCGCTCCTAGGTGCCACAACAGGGTAGCAATGTGCCCTTCCTCCTGCACCCAGTAGGAATTCCCGCCTCCTGATGGGATTCATTTTCCCAGAGTCATGTTTGGGCACCACAACGTCACACCATTCCCAAGTCCCCTTCCCCACCCCAGTGAAGGATTTATATATCGACATACGGAGCGCTCCTGCTGCTGGCTGATTCAGCAGCAAAATCGCTGCTCGTTTCAGGGATGGGGGGACCCAGCTGGGCCTGGGGGATAAATCCCACCCTGATCGCTGGTGTCACCCTCATCAGATGCCCGTCGTCCCCGGGGCTCCTCCATGTGAGTCCATGTCCCTCACAGGAGGCCCCGTGTCCTTGCCACGATAGTCTGCAAAGATGTAACCTCCGGCGCTAGCAGCTAGCTGGGTCTGACACCCCCAGATTGCACTAAGGTAGCTCCTAGGCATGTTATTATGCTCTATATTTATATATATCCTATATAATATCTACTGTGCTGTATCCACAGGAGGGGTATCTCCCAAAGGGCCAACAGGACCATTTCTGCAGCATTGGGGAGGAGGGCGTGCAGCAGCACGGCCATCACCCAGACTGGAAACAGCTTTGGGGGATTTTCAGGTTGTTTTGGTACATGTATTTATCCCTGGTTTCTTGTTTTATTCTGTTTTGATAAATCTATTTATTTGGAGATCCAGATCTGTCTGATAAATCTGATTAAAGTGTCTTCTCAATTCACCATCCCGTGCTGGCTCTCCTTTCCCTGGCAGGCCCCGGGGTTTCTCATGGATCTGCATTGTTGCTCCAGGGCCACTTTGGCTCCCCGTAGTCACTCGCGCATCCCCCTCGGGGTTGGGACAGGGGACCCGTGACCTGAACGACGTCTTACAGAATAACACAGGATCCCAGAATGGTTGAGATTGGGAGGGATCTCTCGGAATCCCCCCGTGCAGCCCCTGCTCCGGCAGGGACACCCAGAGCACGGGGCACCCGGGCGCATCCAGGCGGGTTGGAGATCTCCAGGGCAGGAGACTCCACAGCCTCTCTGGGCAGCCTGTGCCAGGGCTCCGGCACCCTCACACCAAGGAAGTTCTTCCTC